TTTATATAGCCAAGATATGGTAACAACCAAACTGTCCATTGGTGATGAATGAGTAAACAAGAGGACGTGTATGTATATTTTCACACACATTCTATGGAATATAACTTATCCACAAAAACAAATGAAATTCTGTTATTTGCAATAGTGTGGACTGACCTTCAGGGTTATTATACTAAGCAAAATAAGTCATATAGAAAAAGACAAATACCACATGATCTTATGTACAAGTAGAAACAAAATAAAACAAAATCCAGGTTCATGATACAGAGAACAGATTGGTGGGGGGGTTAGGGAGGTGAGTTATAAACAAATCATATGTATATGATATACAACATGGGATGTGTTATAACTAGTAACATTATATTAACTTTAAAAATTTTTTTTTTCAAATTTTGAGAGTCAGAGAGAGACAGTCCGAGAAGGGGAGGGTCAGAGAGAGAGGGAGAAACAGAATCCAAAGACAGGTTCCAGGCTCTGAGCTAGCTGTCAGCACAGAGCCCAACGTGGGGCTTGAACCCACGAACTGTGAGATCATGACCTGAGCTGAAGTTGGATGCTTAACCGACTGAGCCACCCAGGCACCCCATAACTTTGTAAGATGGTACATGGTAACTATATTATTTTGGTGGCCATCTTGCAACAAATACAAATGTGAATTCACTGTTGTATGCTTGAAAATATTGCAATATTGTATGTCATTTATATGTCAAAAATTAAAAAGCTTTTACATAGCAAAATATTAGTGTATTTACAGATATGCACAGCTATCACCACAAGTTTAGAACTTTGTTTATCATGTCATGAATAAACCTTTTACCCTTTATCTGTTCCCCTCTTTCCTTATCCTATACCCCTAAGCAACAACTAGTCTCAATAGATTTTTATCTTTTCAAATTTTATGTGGATAGATTTGCCATTATTTATTTAAATAGTTTGTTCTGTAAATCTCCTTTTTCTAAAATGTTAATGATACGGATTTTAGATCTTCTCACATTCCACTTGTATCTGAGCCTCTGTTCATTTGCCTTTAATAATTTTTAATTTTCTTTTTCATATTGGTTAATTTCTGTTGCTATATGTTCAAGTTTACTATTTTCTCTGCCATTTCCATTTTGTTATTGACCCAATCCAATTCTTTTTAAATCATACAATTATTTTTGTTTGAAATTATTTACATTTTTTAAGTTTATTTATTTATTTTGAGAGATAGGGAGAGAGAGAAAGAGACAGAGACAGAGAGAGAAGAGAGAGAGAGAATACATGCAAAGGGCAGAGAGAGAGCGCGAGAGAGAATCCCAAGCAGACTCTGCACTGTCAGCACAGAACCTGATGTGGTGTTCCAACTCACATACCTTGAGACCATGACCTGAGCCAAAATCAAGAGTCGGATGCTTGACCAACTAAGCCACTGAAACACCTCTACACTTGTTTTTTTTTTTTTAATAGTTTATATTTTTTTGCTGATAACTTTTTATATTCCACTCTAGTGTGTTTATTTTTCAAGTGTGTTTATTTTTAACCAAAAGCATATTTATAATAGTTGCATGATCCTTGTCAGATATTTCAGCATTGGAGTTATAGTGGGATTGATGTCTATTAATTTTGACGGTTTCAGCGCACAATCTTCCTTGTTAGGTTCAAGTTCTATCTCACCCTCTCTGTATGATGGTTCCAGTGTTGGTTATGTCTTCAGATAATTTGGGTCAGAACTCTGCATGTGCTAACTCATTGGTTAGTTTAAGGCCTGAGCAGTGGTTGATATTGCAGTTCAGCTTTCAAGCCCTTTGTTAGGCTCCTTTGATTCTATTCCACATACATGCCACTTGTTGTTGAGACTATGACTTAGGTCTGTTCATACACAGAATTAGGGGATCTCCTTTTCCCATTCTGTCTTCTCCATGATTTCTTCTATGAATTCTCTGGTTCCAATGAGCCTCTTATCCTGGTTCCTCTGACCAGAAATAGAGTTTCTCAGAGTTTTAGTCTTTGATGATGTCACACAGCTTATGTTGGGGGTGCCCGTGGGGTGAAGTGAAGGAGAACGTGAAAATATAACAGGGATTATACTCCCCCCCTTTTTTAAATCATATGGGGCTCTTTTACTGCTCTCTTTGATCAGATAGGTTTTCTCTTAATAGGGACTTGCCTTAGATCAGGACTGGAAGTCAAAGAGGAAAAAAAAAGAAAACTTGTGATTCTTATGTTCACCAGCTGAAAAGTGCCTCTTTTCTGGGTCCATTTTTTTTAAAAACTGGAGTTTCTCTTGGAAATATTGTTCTTACTCCCTGCAGGGTTCCATGACTCAATCTCTTCTCGGACCAAAGTCAAGAGATAAAGGTTGGAAATAAACCCAGGAAACTCACCACAATACTAGTTATTTTTTTTTAAGTTTTGTTGTCCATCCCTAACCTGCTTGATATTTAATTTTCAGAGTCCTTAGGTAGTTCTTTTTTTATTTTGTGTAGATATTTTAACTTATAACTAAAGGAGAGATAAACTTATTTCTTTTTGACCGTCACGAGAGGCTCTATTTCCTCCTTCCCTTCCTTCTTTCCTTCCTTCCTTCTTTCCTTCCTTCCTTCTTCCTTCCTTCCTTCCTTCCTTCCTTCCTTCCTTCCTTCCTTCCTTCCTTCCTTTTATTTTTAAAAAAAAAAAATTAATGTTTTTTTATTTATTTCTGAGAGTGAGAGACAGCGTGAGCAGGGAAGGGTCATAGAGACGGAGATACAGAACCTGAAGCAGGCTTCAAGCTCTGAGCTAGCCATCAGCACAGAGCCCTAAGCGGAGCTCGAACCCATGAATGGTGAGATCATGACCTGAGCTGAAGTAGGCCACTTAACCGACTGAGCCACCCAGGCGACCCCCTTTCTTCCTCCCTCCCTTCCTCCCTCCCTCCATCTCTCCCTCCTTCCCTGTTTCTTTTCTTTTCTCTTTTCTTTTCTGTAGATTCATAAATAGGCATTGGTTAAATTTCTTTTTTTCTAGAAAATCTTGCTGTTTTTATTTTTCAAACATCTTAGATCTCTAGTTGACAGAATTTTTTTTGTAAAGGGCCAAGTAGTAAATATTTCAGGATTTGCAGGTATAGGGGACTTTCATCTATTAAACTTTGCTGTTGCAGTGAGAAAGCATCCATAGATAATATGGACACAAATGGATGTGTCTGTGTTCCAGTAAAATTTTATTCACACAAAAAAAAACAAAAAATAAAAACAAAAAACAGTGGGGGCAGATTTGGCCCATTGGGTCATTGTTTGCAGACCCTTGATCTAAGTCCTCTACAGTTAAGTCTTTCCTAAAGTAGTGCTTGAAGACTATTATCACCTACTGAACTTTGTATGTTAAATTAATTCTGTTTTAATAGCGACTTATATATATTTTTTCTATAGTTTATTCTTCTGTAGAGTAACTCAAAATTTAATTGAACTGAATGAAAGGAAAGGAATTAACAACAGTACAATTATATAAAACTCTTCCTATCCTAATTTGTTTTAAATATATCTCCACAGTAGATATTTCTGTGGCATCCCGCTTCTATCCTCTCATAAATACTTAGTTGGGGAGAACTTTTATTTTTTTTTTTTAAATTAGGGACACCTGGTTGGCTCTGTTGGTTAAGTATCCAGCTCTTGATTTCAGCTCAGGTCATGATCTTACAGTTCATGAGTTCGAGCCCCACATTGGGCTCTGTGCTGACAGTGATGGAGCCTGCTTCAGATTATCTCTCTCCTCTCTCTCTGACCCTCCACCACTTGTGCTCTCTGTCTATCAAAATAAAGAAAGAAATTTACAAATTTATGCTTAAAGTGTTTTTGAAGTATAGTTGTCGTATAACATTATATTAATTTCAGGTGTACAATATAGTGATTTGGCATTTATATTTATTTTGAAATCCTCACCATGATATGTGTAGTTATCATTTGTCACCATGCAAAGTTATTTCAATGTTATTGACTATATTCCCTATGCTGTCATCTTTGTGTCTTATTTATTTCATAACTGAAAGTTCATCTCCTCTTCATCCCCATCACGTATTTTCCTTATCCTTCCTCTCTCTCTAGAACTCCTCTCTCTGACTCATTTCACTTAACATAACACTCTGTAGATTCCTCCATGTTGTCATAAATGGCCAGATTTCATTCATTTTCATGGCTAAGTAGTATACTATGAGTGTGTACATATACATTCATGTGGGGGGATGGGTGTGTATGTGTGTATCTCACATTTTCTTTATCCATTTAACTACCAGTGGATACTTAGATTGCTTCCGTATCTTGGCTATTGCAAGTAAAGCTGCAATAAATATAGGAGTGGATATGTCTTTTCCAATTAGTGTTTTTGTTTGCTTTATGTAAATACCTGGAAGAATTGCTGGATTGTATATTATTTCTATTTTTACTTTTTTGAAGAACCTCTATACTCTTTTCCACAATGGCTACCCCAGTTTACATTTTCACCATACTACACAATGGTTCTGTATTCTCCACATCCTTAACAATGCTTTTTATTTCTTGTCTTTTAAATTGCCACTTTCGTAGGTGTGGGGTGATATCTCATTGTGGTTTTGAATTTAATTTCTCTGATGATTAGTATTGTTGAGGATCTTTTCATGTGCCTATTGGACTTCTGTATGTCTTTGGAAACATGTCTATTTAGATTCTCTGCCTATTTTTAATTCAATACTTGGTGTTTGGCTGGGAAGAGTATTAATGAAGCCACACATGTCATATATTTAGTATACGTTAATCTATCATAGCAAAGCTCTAAATAATATGGAATGAAATCTACAGCTCTGAAAGTTAAGGATTCTCAAGAATAACCTGGAAACCATATTTAATGTTCCTTTCCTAAATACTTTTTATATGTTGTTTGTCATGTTGAGTTTCAGTAGGTGTGGATCTTATTAGAGCATGATGGAATATCTAGTTGTTATATTTTTCTTAGTTCTTACTCTTTTTCTAGTAATCCTAAATTTCAGTTTTTGATTTGAATATTTTCAGGTGAATGGTCTTAAAATGGTTGATGAGCCAATGGAAGAAGGAGAAGCAGATTCTTGCCAAGTAAGTACTCACATTAATTCATTAAGGTACATTTTTAAAATATAACGAAAGAGAATTAAGGGAAAGGAGAAGATCTTCTGTTAATTAAAGAAATTTATTCAGGGAGGCAAGATGGTGGAGAAGTAGGAAGCACCATACATTTCTCCTGCACTCATCTCTCAAACAGAGAAGGCCTGAAGTCATAGGACACTGAGCCACAGGAGTTTGAGAAGAGAAAGAAACAAAGTACACTGGGAAAGAAACCTCAAAAGTGCATGAGTGAGAACTGGGGAAGATAAAAGCAGGAAGGGACCCAGAGATATGGAGGGAGGGGAGGGAACCCGGCTTGCATGCAGCTGCGGTGAGTGATAAACTGGCAAGTGGTTGCGAGCTGCCTCAAGTCCAGGGGAAAGGAAAGAAAAGCTGAGATTGCTCATAGAACCGTCCCTGGAGAAGAGAAAAAACCTCGGCTTGGAAAGACAATGTTTTTTAGCTCTGGCTCGGGTGCTGACTTTAAACTAGGTGGCCTGGTCCAGAAGGCGCCAGGAAAAACTGAACTGCCATTTGCCTGGCACCATCCAAGGCGGCGGCGGGCCGGTGAACCAGCAGCAACGCCTGAGGCGGCGGTCCCAGCGCCCAGTGAAGCGGCAGTGGCGCGCGCGACATCGGCCCACTGAAGCGGCGGTGGTGGCGACCAGGTGAAGTGCTGCTGGCACCTGGTGAAAAGGCGGCTGCGTGAGCGAAAAGTTGGCTGCTGAAGCGGCGGAGGCTGGTAAAGCGGTTGCGGCGGGGTTAGGCGAAGTGGACTCTGCGGACCTAAAGTTGCTATGTTCCCCAGACGCACTGGGATTGTATTGCTGCTTGACCCAGGCGGATCTGAGGCTGCGGCACTTCCCCCACCCTCCACTCAACCTCCAGTAACAGGGAAGAGGCGACCAGTGGAACTGTTAATGGCAGTATAACAAAGCCTCTCAGAAGTAATCAGACTAGATAGTTTCTCTAGATAACACCACCTTCTTTCTCTCACCTCTCCAAACATATTCCACCGTTTAGCTCTTTGAAAAAAGCTTCCTATCCCTCTTCCTGTTCATTCTATCTCCAATTTTGCCTCATCTCCGCCCTATCGTCTCTCTCTTTCTCTAGCTCTTCAACAAGCACTGCATACACCCGGCTATTTAATTGTAGCTGGGAAATCTGGTTATATGCTTTAAACCAATATTTGTCTATCGGTTCTCTTCATTCTTCCTTTTCTTTCCTTCTTTTTGACTTTTTAATATATTTTTATTTTCTATCATTCGCCTTCCCTCCTCTGTCTTTTCTCATTACTTTTTAGTTTTCCCTCTTGGTTAGCGTGATTGTTGAATTTGTTTTTACGTTTTGTACTATGAGTGTGTACAAGAAACTGATCCCATTCACCGAAAACATAAACTATCTACGAATAAACCTAACGAAAGATGTAAAAGATCTTTATGCTGTAAAGTATAAAAAAAACTTATGAAGGAAATTGAAGAAGACACAAAGAAAAGTAAAAATGTTCCATGCTCATGGATTGGAAGAATAACTATTGTTAAAGTGTCAATACTGCCCAAAGCAATCTACACATTCAATGCAATCCCAATCAAAATCGCACCAGCTTTCTTCTCAAACGTAGAACAAACAATCCTAAAATTTGTATAGAACGACAAATGACCCTGAATAGCCAAAGTAATATTGAAGAAGAAAACCAAAATGGGAGGGATCACCATCCCAGACTTTAGCCTCTACTACAAAACTGTAATCATCAAGACAGTGCGTCATTGGCTCAAAAACAGACACATAGACCAATGGGATAGAATAGAGAACCCAGAATTGAACGAACAAATGTATGGCCAACTAATCTTTGACAAAGCAGGAAAAAGTATCCAATGGAAAAAAGACAGACTTTAAAAAATTTTTTTTAATGTTTTTATTTATTTCTAGGAGAGAGAGAGAGAGAGAGAGACAGTGCGAGCAGGGGAGGGTCAGAGAGAGAGGGAGTCACAGACTGAAACAGGCTCCAGGCTCCGAGCTGGCAGTCAGCACAGAGCCCGACGCGGGGCTCGAACCCACGAACCGCGAGATCATGACCTAAGTGAAAGTCGGACGCTTAACCGACTAAGCCAACCAGGCGCCCCAAAAGACAGCCTTTTTAACAGGTGGCTCTGGGAGAACTGGACAGCAACATGCAGAAAAATGAAACTAGAGCATTTTCTCACACCGTACACAAAAATAAACTCAAAATGGATTTTATTTTTTGAGTTTAGGACCTGAACGTGAGACAGGAAACCATCAAAACCCTAGAGGAGAAAGCAGGAAACAACCTCCTTGACCTCCACCGCAGCAATTTCTTACTTGACACATCCCTCCCAAAAAAAAGAATCAAGAGCAAAAATAAACTGTTGGGACCTCATCAAGATTAAAAGCTTCGGCATGGCAAAGGAAACAATCCATAAAACTAACAGGCAACTGACAGAATGGGAAAAGATAGTTGCAAATGACATATCAGATAAAGGGTTAATATCCAAAATCTATAAGGAACTCACCAAAATCCACACCCGAAAAACAAACAACCCAGAGAAGAAATGGGCAGAAGAAATGAACAGACACTTCTCCAAAGAGGACATCCAGATGGCCAACAGACACATGAAACGATGCTCAGCATCCCTCCTCATCAAGGAAATACAAATCAAAACCACACTGAGATACCACATCAAGCCAGTCAGAGTGACTAAAATGAGCAAATCAGAGAACTCTAGATGCTAGCAAGGATGAGGAGAAACTGGCACCCTCCTACAGTGTTGGTGAGAATGTAAACTGGTGCAGCCCCTCTGGAAAACAGTGTGGAGGTTCCTCAAAAAATTAACAATAGAACTCCCCTAGGACCCAGCAGTAGCACTGCTAGGAATTTCCCCAAGGGATACAGGAATGCTGAGGCATAGGAGCACATGTACCCCAATGTTCATAGCAGCACTCTCCACAATAGCTAAAACATGGAAAGAGCCTAAGTGTCCATCAATAGACGAATGGATCAAGAGGATGTGATTTATCTATACTATGGAATACTACATGGCAATGAGGAAAAATGAAATCTGGCCATGTGTAGCGACATGGATGGACCTTGAGGGTGTTATGCTGAGCCAAATAAGTCAGGCAGAGAAAGACAAATACCATATGATTGCAAGTATAGGAGGATTAGGAGGACCTTAACAGAGGACCAAGGGGGAGAAGAATGGGGGAAATAGTGGGGGAGAGGGAGAGAGGCAAAACATGAAAGACTCTTGAATACTGGGAACAAACTTAGGACTGATGGGTGTTGGGGGGGGAGGGAGGAGATGTGCATGGAGGAGGGCACTTGTTGGGATGAGCACTGGGTGTTATATGGAAACCAAGTTGACAATAAACTCTTTTAAAAAAATTTAAAAAAAGAAAAGTTCAATTAAAATGAAACGTAAATTAAAAAAAAAGAAATTTATTCAGGTAAGTTAATAATAAGCCAATTCAGTTATTAATAAAATAATAGTTTAAAATACAAGACAGTTTTCTTGTTAGAAATTTTGAATTTTTTTTAAATGTTTATTTATTTATTTAGAGAGAGAGAGAGCATGAGCTGGAGTAGTGTGGGGGATAGATAGGCTTAGGAATCCCCCGGGCTTATACCAATGGGTTAACAAAGCATAGAGAAATAAAAAGTCATAGGATGCTCACATCCAAGTTTGGGCTAACATGATTGGCACCGCGAGAATAGGGTGGTGCAAAAGCACCCTGAGAACAGGGTGGTTAAGAGCCCCCAAAATAGAGAGAGAGGGACAAAGGCCCCAAAATAGGAATGCGTGCAAAGGCACCCAATACAAAGGTTTATGAGGTAAGCAAGATGAGGCATGCAAGGCAGAAATGCCCCCCCAATTTAGCACTATAGCAGAGAAGCTGCTTTCAGAGGAGAAAAGGGCCAAGTTAGGCAAAAGAAGTAAATTGGGCTATAGACCACTGCGCTGCAGGCGAAGCAGCCCAGAGCAAAGATGGCTAATAATAGAAAAGGTGACTGTCAACCTTGAGGTTATTTCCCGTATCTGTCTTCTCCCCTAGGCTAGCTAAGATAAACAGACATGCACCACACGGAGCCTCCTATCTGATGTTAACAACCATCTGCCCATCTGCCCAGCATCAGTATTTTCTTTTATATTAACCAAGCCCTAAACACTGTATATCCTCAACACCTCCTTTTCCTCTCATGTTCCCTGGTTAATGCTCACGGTTTCGTTGTTTCTTTGTGCATGCCCATCATGTTTGTAAGTCTTCTGATCTTAATAAATATGGGGCAAGGGCCCTTACTGAGGGCTCTTGTCTTTTCCTGGACATTAGGCATCTCTCTCCTATTGTTTAGTCCTGTGTCCCACTCTCTTGCTAGACAAGAGAGAACATTAGACCCAGAGTGTGTGACAGGGTAGGAGCAGAGAGAGAAGAGAGAGAATCCCAAGCAGATTCTGCGCTGACAGTCTGGAGCCCAATGTGGGCTCAGTCTCATGAACTGTGAGATCATGACTTGAGCTGAAATCTAGTCAGGTGCTTAACTGACTAAGCCACCCAGGCAACCCAGTGAAGTGTTTTTTAACAACTTTAATGAGGTGTAATTTACATACCATGAAATTCACTCATTTTTAGTGTAATGAATGAAATTTTTACTTGCTAGCATATAAGTAAGTGTAGCACTTAAATACAGTGTCCTCTAAATTAAACTAAATCAGATTGTGTTCAACTATAGGGTAGAAAGGTTATTTAATATAGAAATATTTAATCTGAGGTCATTTAAAATCCATTTCTTGGCTTTGAAAAAGTATTACAACCAAATTATTTCAGTAGTTTCTAACTAGGTTTCTTAAAGTTTATTTATTTCTTTTGAGAGAGAGAGAGAGCACAAGTGGGTGAGAAAGTGAGAGAGAGAGAGAGAGAGAGAGAGAGAGAGAATCCTAAGCAGGCTCTGCACTGCAGAGCCTGATGTGAGGACA